GACTTCAACAAAGTGTTCTCTACTATCATGAAATATAGCTCGATCAGGGTGCTATTGGCCATGGTTATTTTATGTTAGGGGTAGAAATCGCACGTTCGGATCTCATCTCTGAACAGAAGGACTTTGGCTGACCTGGCATGTGCCAAAGCGACCACCCAGTTGCCTTTGAACTCCATCCCACATCGGGTAGGAGTCATCTCCCCCTTGCCATATAAGCCCTTGGCCTCAATGGAGGAGGTACCCACTAGCCACTTGAGGCCAATGGCTTATATGGCAGGGGAGAGACGACTCTCAATCGATGTGGGACGAAGCTCCACACGGACACTGAGAAATAAAGGCTACTGGGGGGTCGCTCAAGGGGTTAACTCAGATCAGCCAGAATCCTTGAGCTATGCAAGAATTTGTACCAACACTTTGTTTGACCTAGAGCTAGAACATCTCGATGTTAAAACAACATTTTCGCATGTTGAGTTGGAGAAACGGATTTACATGCGTCAACTGGAGGGATTCCTAATTCAAAGAAAGGAGAATCACGTTTGTTTGTTAAAGAAATATTTGTATGGTTTAAAGCAATCACCAAGGCAATGGTATACGCAATTCAACACATTTATAACTGCAAATGGTTATTGAAGAAGTGAGTATGATAATTATGTCTACCACAAGAAACTCTCAGAATAGTTTGTTTGTATATCTATTGTTGTACGTCAATAACATGTTAATAGCTACGAAGAATATGTTAAACATCAAAAACCTGAAGGATCAACTTAGTGGTGAGTTTGAGATAAAAGACTTGAGAGTTGCAAAGAAAACATTGGAGATGGAAACTTGAAGAGATCGAAAGTGGGCAAGTTGTACCTATTATAAAAAAGTTATATTGAGAAGGTGGTAGAATCATGACCAAAAAAAAAAGAAGGTGGTAGAACGCTTTGGAATGCAAAGGTCAAATCCTGTGAGTACTCCACATGCCACTCATTTCAAACTTTCGATTGCCTTGTCACCACAGACTGAAAAGGAGGTGGAGCTCATGTCACGTGTTCTTTATGTTAGTGCTGTTGGAAGAATTATGTATGCCATAATGTGCACTAGGCCAGCCATTTCACATGTTCTAAGTGTGGTTATCCGATTGTTCCAAGTATGGATCAACCAGGGAAGATCCATTGGCAGATTGTGAAATAGATACTTTGATACCTATAATGTGCAACATATGTTGGGCTAGTATATGATAGGAGCAATGACACTTTTAGTGGTGTTAATGGATACGTCAATTCAGATTATATTGGGAGTCTTAATCGAAGGAGATCATTGATAGGATATATATTCACTCTTTGTGGTTGTGCAGTCTACAGTTTGAAGGCAATGTTGCAGTCTACAGTTGTATTGTCTACAATTGAGGCCGAGTTCATGACAACTACAGATGCAGTGAAGGAAGTCATAGGGGTGAAAGGTTTGGTTGGTGATTTGGATCTGGAACAGAAGTTGACTTCTATGTACTATGACAGCTAGAGTGTCATACATCTTACTAAGAATCAGATGTTCCATGAAAGGACCAAACATATCAATGTTAGGATGCACTACATCAAGGATATTATTCCTTAGGGTGCTATTGCAGTAAAGAAAATTGTTATCACAGAGAATCCAATGGATATGATGAATAAGTCAATTACAACAATTAAGTTCAAACATTGTCTGGACTTAATTAATCATTCACATTAAAGATTGATGATCCCATGATGTGGAGATAAAACTTTAGATCTACAAGTGCCAAAACTTTTGGGTGTCAATAAACTCAGGCCAATATGGAGAATTGTTAAGTGGCTTGCATGTTTAGACTTTATGGCACCACCTATCTTCACTAAAGGAATGACCAAAATGGTTTTTTGATGGTAAAGATAAAGCAACGTGCATTTTCTATACAAAATGCAGGTGCGTAGATGAGTTGCTTTTTTTGCCTATAATAGGCATAAGCTTGAGAGGTTTAGAGCATCAACATTAATCTTTTGTTCTTTTTATGCGATTAACAAGACATCTTTGTGCCTATTTCAAAAGTGAAATAGAGAAAGAGGAACATATCCCAGGTTGGTAGTTGCACTCATGTCTAGCTTTAGGTTGACCAAAGCAAAAATACAGAGGAGCCAATCAAACCTATATTTCATCAAAGGCCTTAAATTAATGGCTCTCATTAATCAAATCTTAGGATCAACAACAATTCTTCATCCTAGACACTCTCTTTGGCCCAATTTGTAGTTTTAAAATGGGTTTTTGGGAAGATGATACAATTTTTAACTTATTTGACTTTAAAAATATTTGACAAAAAGTACACTTTGGAGTAGAAGGACCGAAGTACCACTAAACATTATCACATCACTATTGAAAAAATCAGATAAGGAAACTAATTAATTTGAAAACTAAAACTCTTGAATTTTAGAGTTTTCTTATATTAGAACTTTTTCTCTTTCACTCTCTTTATATCTCATATATATGCACTAGTTATTGCTCGTGCATGAAGACACTCTATAACACAAAGGAAAAATCGCAAGCAATTGCTCTTATTAAAAAAGAATGACCTGAAAACATTCATACCAATTTTTCTTTTAAAATGACTGAAATATATTGTCGATCATATTCTCTATATTAATGGAACTATCATAAAAATATACAAAAAAATTCCCAAAACAACACCACATATAAAAATACCAAAAAAAAAAACGCATATTAAAAGAACCTAATAAAGTTTACAATCTTTAAGTAATAAATAAAATCAATAAAATACTGTTAATTTATAAGACTCGTAAATTTATCACCACGGCTACCATTCAACCAAATAACACAACATAATTATAAACTCAATATCCAAATTTTCAATCCACCCCATATAATAAATACTTCAAGAAAAAACAAACAAATACTAAGACATTGAGTCCAAAACTTATGATATAAAAAAAATAATTAACTCTCCAAAACACAACCCTCGGACATTATCATTCCGCATACACAATTTGTATAATCGAAATAGTAAAGAATACAAATCTTCATTAAAAAAAATGACACGTACCACAGTCATTCCCAAAACACATCTCTTTAAAATGCTCCTCCAGTCTTGGGGAGAATTCACAAAACACCATTCTATCGAGACTTGAATGGTGTACCAAAAATATTTTACTTGCCACAGTCATTCATAAAACAAATCTCTCTAAAATGCTCCTCCAGTTCTTGGGAGAATTCGCAAAACTCCTCCCAAAACTCCACTTCTATCAAGACTGGAATGGAGTATTGAAAATATTTTACTTGACATCTTAAAAAATTGGAATAAGCAGGACTTATTTGCTCATTATTTAAACTCCCAATACTCCCCAAACTCAAGTTATTATGTCTCATTTTTTTTGTATTAAAAAACTAAAATTTCATGCCGTCTATATCTATCCAAAATTTAAAGTTACATAACAAAAAAAATCATTCACTCACTCGATAAAACCATATATTAATTTAATGGGTCACTCTAATTCGTTAGTAATGAATTTAAAAAATCGTCACCGTACAATCCAAAAAATAAATATCCATATACTAAAAAAAACAAATTAATTACCCTGATAAAATTAACTTTTCGCACGAAACACCAAACTGTCGAATGGAAAGTGGGCACCATGATCAAATTAATTACCACTAACAACTATGAACTTTTACAACACAATGCAATAATACTAATTTGCAAGAAATGTCTTCACATGACCAACAATGAAAAATATACCCAATCTTGACCGAAAGATTTTCATCACAGGATTGATTTGAGTCCAAATTTATTCTTGGAATATGAATCCAAATTCAGAGGAATAGGAAACATTAGCTTAATGACATTGGGTGAAAATCTTACCTTGATTCAATTTTTTTGTGTATGTTTATGATTTGTTGAATTCAAATGACTCATGAAGTAATAAGGAGGCCATCTAAATATACATGAGTTAAAACTAATTAAAACACACAAAAAAAATTTATCAAGTTTTTTATTACTGAAATGATTTGAGTTGAGTGGAAGACAATTCAAGAGAAAAGCTATATTCGGGATAACAAAATGAAAGTAAATCAAACAAAACAAAAATAGATAAAATTAGAGAGAAAGAAAAAAAAATTGCATCCTTGTAGCATCACTATTTGCAGAATTGTGGGTTTCCCAAATGTCCTCAATTTTTCTGTTTTATATTGTATCATCATTATTGTCTACTCCCTTTTTTGTTTTTTGTTTTTTTGGCTGTAATTTCTGAGTCATTATAAGCCCAAGGGAGATAAAGATACATCTTGGGCTTAAAAAACNAAAAATTAGAGAGAAAGACAATGTTGTATCATCATTATTGTCTACTCCCTTTATATTGTATCATCATTATTGTCTACTCCCTTTTTTGTTTTTTGTTTTTTTGGCTGTAATTTCTGAGTCATTATAAGCCCAAGAGAGATAAAGATACATCTTGGGCTTAAAAAACCCCTTAACCTTCCACACATGCAATCAGTTTGTCTAATATGTACCTTGCAATTACAAAGACGTAAGAAAGCACATCCATATTCATGGTATATGGGATAGATGGTACAGACTCTTGATTTCAACTGAAACAAACTCTTGATTTCATCTGACACAGACTCTTGATTTCATCTGAACCATCCATATTCATTGTTTATGGGATTGTACAAAACCTACAAACATATTTGTTATAACACAAACACGTTCATGATCTTAGTCTTGAAATCTAGAGCCAATTCTTCATCAGGATAGATTTTTCACCACATTACATGAAGCCATCGCTTTCTTCTCATTGTTGGTCAGTACATCACACTCCTAGGAAAAGCATTCCAAGACAAAGTGTATCCGGGTGGACCATTTCCCTAGCCAGAGCAAATTGGGCTTCACTTTCTCTATAAATACAAACAAAACAGTAAACGTCACTATAAAAATCTGAGCAATATCCTAAAGATTCAGATCTCTGGGATCCTTTATGAGAGGCAAATTGGATCAGATTGAAGCAAAATTTGCATCACCAAATGAGACAAAGAGGGGGAAACATACCTTGACAGTGGCTATGCAGGTGATGGTATCGAATAGTTGCAATTGGGCACGTGACAATGTTACCAAAAGAATGGGGAAGATAGAATGGACGGGGAGATTAGGCACCAGAGATAGGGAGGCATGGGGAGAGAGTGAGGAGAAGGGAAAAACAGAGTATGATCTGAAGAAGAGGGAGTGAGAGAGAAAGGGGGGGAAATAGAGCAGTGAGAGTCCGAGAATATTGTGGAATGAGAGTTTTATTGGCTTTTGGTTAGGAGAGTCCAAAATTCTTGAGTAACTTATGGGCGAGAAATCAAATTTTGATATCAATTATCATCGTCGGATCAAAAATTTGAAAATGATCTGATCTGCGAATAATTTAAAGACAAACTTTCCTAACTACTTTATTATATCTACTAATAATTGCCCGTATCTGAGGACTCTATGTAACTCAAAAAAAAATTCGCAACCAATTGTCCATACCATAAAGGCACCATACAACACAAAAAATACCAATTAAAAAAACTGAGAAAATTGACTAATTAATATGAGCCCACTAATAATTTTAACATATTTCTCTATAAAAATATGACTTTCAAAATATCAACATGTATAAAAAAATTTATACAATCAAACATTTATTTAAACAGAGACAGATTAAATCAATTATGCTTCTCATGCCCGTACTACCACTATTTACCAACTACTATAAACAGAGAAGTGTCCTCTTTTTATAGGAATCTTCAATAGAAGCCCGTCATTGCAATTCTTATACTCATACCCACTTTTTAGGCCATGGAGGAGCAAAAGCCCTTTTTGAACCCTTGCTTTATTTAAATTGAACTCCTCCTCAGTCGTGTTAAATTTTTGGTAAATTACTTAGTCCTATTAGTATTATAACAATGAAATGATTTATATACTATGCCCAAGAATGGTATCTAATTGTTCTCCACTAGCCCAAGAATCATAAATACACTCACAAAAGTTCATCCTTGACATAATGTAGTATCAAAAGCAAAGCAAAAAAACTCTCAATTTCTCAATATTGAACAAAAAGAGAAGACTGAATCCTGAAAACTACAATATACTACGGATTTCATTACTCGATATACCATCAAACAATGATTGACCATAGAAGAACTCACAAATAGTATAGTGCCCATTCGACAAAGATATGACCACAATGAAGTAAAAGAAAAGCAAAATCTTGTACCATAGAAGACAAATTTGTCCTCATCAAGACTTTCAAACTCTTCAAAGGGGTTGTGCCTTGTGGTTGTAGACGTGGTAGTAGCTATAGTTGTTTATGATGCAGCGAAGAATGTCCTCCCAAAGACTCTTGTCTCAAACATGATGGCTAATAAATTGCAACACAACAATTACGAAAAAAAAATAGCTTGTTAAAAGAATTAGAGAGATGTGTGTGACCGTTACCAAAATTAATTTCTGTCCAAAAGTTGTAGTAGAAAGAATTCTTACCAGAGAGCTTTCTCACTACTTTCATTAGCGAAGAATTCTATCAAACAGTTTGCATACAACAAAAGCACTAATGGTACAGTTGAATGAACAACCTCATTTCTAAATGAGTCATTCCATCAAATTATCTATGTGTAGAACCAAAGGCGTGACCTTTTGAGTATGTAACCACAAAATTGGGAATTCTGTGCTCCCACTTTAGGAATTGAGACAAAGGCTAGGTAATTACAGAAAAAAAATCCACACAAATTGACCTTGAGTAACCTTGTGCACAAAATTAGTGCGTATAAAAATGTGTGTGTGTCTGCACATGAGGGTGGGTGAGTGTGTAGGTGTGTGCGAGTTATGGGGACTATGTATGTGTGTGTGTGTGACAGAATGGTGGTGGCAAAAAATGGTGGAAGAGATGTGACATAGAGAGAGGAAGAGGAAGAAAAGGGGTCAAGTCAATACCCATAAGGGCATTTGGTCGAACAGGTTATAGGCACAACACTACTTGCCCATGGAAGATCTAACCTCAAACCTCATTCACTAATTCCTAACCAAAACACAAAGACAATCACAAATTCGCAACCCAAAGATAAAAAAATAAAGGTTATTCGTGCATATACATATGGATATACGAAAATCTCAAACAAAAGGGGGATAGAAATAGAGAAAGGAACTCATAGGCTCTCAGGAACAACGGATGTTCCGCCCACAATAATCCTCCTTCTCTATATTTGTTTCTTCTCCCTAGCAACAATGGGCATATCAGTGAAAGAGAACGGTATACAACTATACATACACAAATATAATTCATATTACAAACCTCGTTACAAAGAATGGTTGGATTTCTGTCTTTGGCAATTGGTGTGGATGAATCGCCTCTCCCGTTCACCTTAGTCTGCACTCTGTAGTAAGAGAGAGTGTGAATTGAATTTCAGAGAATCAAATGAAGCCCTTTGCCCAAGGAATGAAGCCTTGCCCTCTTAGTCTTAGGCGATGTGTCAGGGCAGTATTACGAGTGAGATTTGAGATTGGGGGAAGATTTGAGATGCATTCCATGTGATAGAGGCGTGATATATTGGGAGAAATAGGCGTGAGAGAAAGAGGGNAAACCTTGTCAAAATTTCTACAGTTAATTATCCTTTAATTTAGGAAACACTTAGCCATTAAATTAGAATCAAAAAATAAGAAAAATTGTCTCAATAAAATAGGAAACTGAATCTCACAATTAACTGTCAAACTTATCTTCCACGAATAAAAGAAAAGGGCTTTTATGTAAATAAAATATTTGCAAAAAATCCAAAGTGTATTTGTTCACAACACATTTATATGAAAAAATACTTATACACATAAGATTTATATTAAAGTATTTTCTCAAAAATAAGTAGTTTATGGTGTACATTTTTACAATTTACTGACCAATTTCGAGGGTTTCAGCTACAAACTAGGGGTGCAATTTGAGTATGCTAACCCGAACCCAACAATAAAAAATAGTACTTGGGGTGAAATTTCTAAAAATTGGGTTGAACTTGGACCAAAATTTTTCAACCTGAATTGAATTTGGATCGTGCACGAGTTAAGACTTTGGATTCATGAGTTTAACCCGCATAGAATTGTTAAAATTAGTTTCAACTCGAGTTTTTACCCAGAAACCAATATATATCTAAAGGGTATTTATTTATTTAATCATTAAAAGAATATTTTGTTGTAGGACCACACCATAATAAAATAATGTTTTTTCACACTCATAAAGAAATTCTTGTAGGACTAGAGAGAGTGCAACATCCCTTGTTAAGCTGATATGGGATGTTGGATAAAGAGTCAAAAAAGATGTCAAAATTAGAATATTGGAAACAAAAAGTGTCTCTTGGTTTTCTTGTATATAAAGAAGACAAACTATGGAGGAATATATCTTATAATGCGCAAATCAGTTTTGTACAAANAATAATGCGCAAATCGGTGTTGTACAAAATCAACAATCAAAAATATGAATTAGTGTAATTAATGAGCAATTAACAAGTAATAAATGACAATCAAGAGCAAAAGCAGTAAATAGGCAATCAACACAAAGAATTATAGTGGTTCGGTCCGGGTGACCTACTCCACTCTCGAGAACGATAGTGGTGGCCTGGATCTTTTATTGATGAATAAAGTCGCCGAAGATAGTAGTCTCCAGGAGTATTACAGTACTTAGATGGAGAGAGAGCAATGTGTGTAGGAAGGTGTAGTATGTGTAGGGATCTCAAGGTCATGAAGGCATGCCCTCTATGTTTAGAGGACTTACATTATATAGGTTCACTAAGACGGTGAGGCGGTGACGTGAGAAAGGGGGTTTCTACCATTTTGGTAAGCACAACTTTAGTAGGATTGGATCTCCGTATCCCGATATTTTTTCTCTCGTGCCCCTATTAAGTCGGAAGAAGACCCTTAGTGGGATTTGGGCTTGATCCTGAGCCTAGACGTTGAGTTGGGGTGAACTGGACTTGCATTGGAGTGAAGAAGATGTAGGAGGACTAATGGGCAATGATTAACCATCAAAATTGTTATTTTTATTATATTTAATGATTGGTTAATTGCTTATTATTTGTGACTAAATGTGTTAAATTTCTTGATTTTCTAGTTTGATACTTTTTCTAATTGTTTAGTTTATTTTGCAAGTAAATTGGTTGATTTAAAGTAATAATGGATAATGCAAGTGAAACAATCACTAGAAGAAGAATCACAATTGATAAGGATTGAAGAGTCAAGATTGAGATTGAAAGACTTGAAGATATGACAGCAAAGTAATCCTGATAAGAGTCCAAGTTTGAAGAAAACTCATTTAGAGTTGGATTAGGAAAGTGTCCAAGAAGAAAAAGATTCGACACGTCTTCAGTATGTTGGTCATAAATTTTGACTCTGATATCCGATTTACTTGATTTTTAGAGGTTAAAAAGAAGACTTCAAGGGCTATAAAAGTGTATTTCATGTAATTTTCGTGATTCAACCTCTAAATATACAAAATTCAAGCTCAAAATCTGGACATATTTTATACCCGCGCCCCAAAGATTTTATGCATGGGATTTAACCTTACAATACTTCTTTTTGGGAAAGGAATTCCTTCCAAATCAACCTTATATCTTCTACCTATTATTAGGATTTATTTTTAGTAGAAATAGGGGTTCTCATTTAGAGATTAGAATGATTCTTTTTCCCATCTTTTTATTTTTATTTTAGTTCGTTATGTCTAGCTAGAAGGCTAAGTTAGGGTTAGGGGAAATCTCTCAAAGAAGTACGGTACTGTTATTGACTCTGTGCTTAATGATTTATAATATTTTGTTAATTTAACTTCTGATTTTTTAGCAAAATTTTTATTCTGTAAAAATCCTTGAGTCGTTGTGCCATGTACATCGATTGCTTCAATTACCCTGCTAATAAATAACTGGTTATTACACGGTTGATGTATTTATCATTGTTTCATAAAATTAACATAATTGGATGATTATTCAGGTTTCTGAATAATCTTTTGATTATAACTTTTGATTTTCTTACTTGATTTGTTACTCGAATCAACCAACATCTGATTCTTGTCTCAAGTTAAGATTTGAGTCTATAATCATTATTGTATGAAATTGAGAGGGAGTATCTGATACTCTAGTATTTTTATTATATTTTTTAAATATCTTCAATCAATATTTTCAACTCAAAAATTTTTTTTACACAAATTGTTCCCTCAAATTTTCTTTGGTATTTTTG